AGGTAGCAATACTATACTATATTACACTTAGCTGAAAGGTTACTTAGCAGCTCTTCAAGATACAGTTTTGTAATGCATATTTACACAGGGACTGCTCATACATCAAAACTCTTAAATTCCGGGTGGTTTTGTCACGTTTGTTCCCTGCTTCCTGTCGTGCACCATGGTGGAGTATAGAGGCCAGGGTTTCACACGCACAGGGGCTTTATTCACCCACAGAACTCCATAGGTCCTTTGCAGGAACAGGAAGGGAAAGGGTATGGAAGGTGTGTCTCAAGAATCCTTCAGGAACTGATAAGCAGCTTGCTTCTCTTCTTTGATTGTGTCTCTTATTTATGTATATTAATGCTAGCAGTGATTGCAGACAGTCCTTTTTTTATTGCTTTTTTTTTTTTCCTGTGATGAGTTGGGGTCTTTCAGGCTAACAGCAACTGGAGCATCTCTTTCCAAATGTGTTATTGTGATTAAGGTGAACAGAGCTCTTCTTAGCTGTTTCACAAGTGTCTGGGCTTGACACCTTCTTCTCTGTCACCCCATTGCCACGTTATTCCATGACCACACATGGCAGGCTCCGCTGGTAAGCTTGTTCCTTGTTGTACCTCTGCCTGGTTATGAAGCTGCCCTTAACAAGGAGATTATAGGAATTTCTCACACCGATGTATGATCTGCATCCTCAGCTTTTGTGGGTGTCCTCCTGAAGATGGTGGCAGAGCTGTGGCATCATTACCAGCTACAAGCCTGGCTTGATTTTTAAATGTCAATTCTACAGCAGATTTTAAGCCTTAGGGACTTGGGAGTGTAGCAGTAATTGAGGAATGGTTTCATAAAGGCTCCTGGGCTGATGAAAAAAGATGTGACTTTGGTAAAAACAAAAAAAAATACAAGCTGAACTAGTAAGTCGATGCTGTCTGCTACAAAATCTTAGGGGGGAAATGGAATATAAGTGATAAGATCATAAGAAAGACCCTTGCAGACTGAGATGCTGTGTGGCATGGTTGCCCAAAGCTATCTCGGATCAGAATGCCCTCCTGAAGGAGAGTTACCAAGTTTCTTCCTTCACTCTAAGTAGTAAGATAAATTATATGTCAGGAGAAAGCCATGAAGGAGGCAGGAAGAAAAGGAAAAGCTTTTGTTGTTCTAGACTGCCCTACAAGTATTTTATTCAGTATCTGTACAATTTATTGCCATGCATGAGCATATGCAGTATGAACATGCCTATGAACAGATACTGGAAGGAAGAACTAGTATTAACTTTTACTACTGAATTGTAATATATCAGCTTGAAGACTTTGGTTTTCCTTTATAGCATGTGTATGTGGTTAAATTTCTGTGGGTATATTACACATTTACATTGTTGCTGTCAGTGGAAATAAATACCACTACACAGGGTTTCTGTCAATGCACAGCTAGACAAAAGTCATGTTTGAAGAAAAGCAGACAAAAATTGTATATACTCCTATTTGCATTATGGATTTAACTTTCAAAACCAGCAGTGTAGTAGAATTGACAGTATGTTCTATAATACTGCAGGGATTGCAAGTCCCATTGTGAAGTGATGGAAATTTAGAATCATTTCAAGAGATGGGAGGTGTCACAATACGACGACTGTTAAAGTATCTACATATACATTAAAGGGTCTGGCAGGAAGCTCAGGTTTCTGAAACCTGGAAAGCTTAGTCTGTTATTTTAAATGGCACATTGAATTTGTGTGACCAAGATATTAGTATTCAACACTACAAATTGAACCCATTATTTCTAATTTAAGAGTATATAGTAACAAATAAATTGCATTTATCATGCTTTTTATAGCCTAACTGCAGTCCATTCAATTCTCTTTGGTACTTTCACAGCCATTCTCTTGACTGTGGTACTGCGGATAGTTACCCTTTGGATTCATTTCCTAAGGCAACAGAGCTAAAGTGTCTCTCTCTGTTCCTCGCTGGTAATTTTTCAGCTGGCTCCCCAACAGGTTTTACAAAAGGTTGCTTGTCTTCAGCCATTCCATGTGTTTCAGGGGCTGGGGTGGAAAGCCGTACAGAGAGCAGCTCTGTCTGGAGCCCCGCTACAGTACAGGAAAAGGCTGTCGTGGGAGTTTAATGTTTACAAGGTGTCAAAAATCATCTTGACAGAAAGATCAGGAGTTCCCCAACCGCAAGAAAAGTTTTAATCAGATTTAGCAGGTTATTAGGAAATCCAAGCACAGGACAGATCAGCAATAGGGTTTGTGACTCGCAGACATCTACAGTTGTTGATTAACATGTGCTTATGGACACATCTTCCTCAGGAGCCAACTTCCCACCAAAAGAATGCAATGTTTTAACAACTTGTTACCTTCTGTTTCCTCTAAGCTACGAACAGACCTATAGCAATTAGATGTTTTACCTTGTCTTCAGGGATTTGGGCTGTATTGTTTCATGAAGGTATCAATGTGATTAGCCTTCCTGGCAAAAGAATTCTTGGCTTTTTTCATTTCTCTTGAAGTATTCTGCAAAATTGTTCCTAAGTTTCCCTGAAATACCATAGGTACATTGCACAGAAGAAAAAATCTTTCTCCCTTCATCTCATAACCTCACGTCCAACATTTTTATGATACAGTAATATATTTCCATATGATACAGCAAATGCAGATTGTGAATTATAAATCTTCTTCTTTTAGCTTCATAATGTTGAAGCAGAACCAGAATATCTGAAAATTAAATGCATGCAATAGTCGCAGTGTCGTATTCCTGTGTGAGTTGTCTCAAACCTCAGCCTCTTTCCTTGTTTCTAACACATTGCAGAAGAATAATTAGTAACGGGGTTTGCTCAATCACTTTCCTTTAATATTTAGGATATTTACTGTAGTATTTTGTAACAATAGCATAATCATGAATCATAACAGTAATTATTCCTATCGTCAATATTAGAATTATTTCCTCGTAAACGCAAGTCCACAGTGAAATATTCAATCTATATTGAATTTTCTCTACCATAAAAGACAGTAGATGAGGACTACCGTAAAGTAGCTTAAGCCCATTTTTGTTATGTGGTAACTTGGTCATTTAGTCTTAGCATCTGTGCTGGTTTTGGCTGGGGTTTTGGCTGAACATGGGAAGCGAGGAGTGAATTCCTTGTTTTGCCTTGCTTGTGTGTGTGGGTTTTGCTTTCCCTATTGAACTGTCTTTATCTCAACCCACAAGTTTTCTCACTTTTCCAGTTCTTTCCCTCATCCTGTTGGGGTGAGTGAGTGAGTGGCTGCTTGGTGCTTAGTTACCAGCTGAGGTTAAAATGCCACATTATCTATCTATGCAGTGCTAAAAACATGATGATAAAATAAGCAGAATAGTCCCTTGTCTATCTCCAGGTATTTATTTTGTTTCAAACTTTTTGAAGGTAAAAAAGTAGTTCATGCTATTTGCTAGTACCATGCAGAGAAAGGAGCTGGGTTTTTAATTTCTCTGGGCTTCTTTGGTTGAGTGCTGCTCCCAGGTATAATTTCTGTGTGATGAATGGAACTTTTTATTTAATTTTCCTTTACTTTTTTCTGTCCTTTGGAATTTGATGTGTGCCTCATACTGATGGTATAAACCTTAGTGCAATTCATATAAAATTCCTGTTAAAAAAAAATCATTCGCCTTTCCCAAAAAGAAAATGTAACTAGTGAGGAAGCCAGTGTGTATTTGCTCTGCTACTGTTTCTTTAAGACTGATGGAAATAAGGTTGCACCATTTTATGTAGTTTTGCTGCATTTTAACATCAGTCGCTAGCATGCAGCAGATCTCTCTGCCTCACAGACTTCAGCAGTATCACAGAGGTCATATTTTCCTGTGTATAAATTATTCATGAACAATTTCTCCAGTGCACTAGATAAACTTGCAGAGATCAGAATTCATGTTTCTCTTCTTCCTCTCATCTCTATAATCAGTCATATTCTAATAGGCAGTGCAAAAAAACCCTCAAAACCTGTATTGATCTGTGTGCATTTGATGGAATAGATTGGTACAAAGTTATAATTAATATAAAGTCATTAGAGGGAAGTCCACAAAAGTAAAGAATAAATAAGTATGAACATTTTTGTTGCTGACTGGATGCCACTTGCTTATTTGACCACAAACGTGTTGTTACAGTGGGCTGAGGTATGTTGTACACATTAAGGACTGGGTTTCAGAGCTGAAATTAAACTGTCTGGTGGGTGAGGCAAGAAATTCTGCCCCTACAGCACCAGTGCAGAAAGAAATGACAGTAAAACACTTCAGAATTTCCAGTCCATATTCCAGCTTAGCCCGTTTCTTCAAATGGGATAATTCCCTTTCAGTCCTGCTGTCCGCTATGCTTCCTATCACATCCGTCAGTGGGTTTTGGAAAGATCTACAATAGTACAGAGGATCCTTATCTTGGAGATAGCCTTCATATGGTTCTTGTTACATGCCTCTGATCGATTCCTGTACTGGAGCAATTTCCCTGGTAAAAACTAAAAAAAAAAAGAAACCAGAACAGCACCATTATTTTAAGAGACGATTACAGACATGTGCTGTAATTCCAGGAATCAGCACATTATAGTCACCTTTCCCATTGGTCTGATTTAGCCAAAAAAACCCACCCTATTTCTGTGAAAATTCTTCTGGTAAAATCTGTAGCTGATGCCCTTGCATTTTGCAGCACCTGAGGATGCAGCGTGGGGCCTTTGGGCATTTGGGTGCTCTGTGTGTTGGCACCCGTGCAGAAGAGGTGCTCCCGATCCAGTGGTCTGCAGCTGCTCTCAGTTCATCAGCATCTGCTCACCTGATGGGTTGCAAGCCGATGCTATGGAGAGATTTTTGGAATGAGTTCGCAGCCAAGCTGCTCACAATGCCTTGAATATGATACAAAGGGACAAGTTTGTACCAGTGAAGAGATGATGTGGCTCTGCACAGCAGTAATCGTGTGTAACGATGGACAGTTACAGTGCAATTACTTGGCTGTTTGGGGTTTTTTTCATTGCATTCATTGCTGATCTTTGATCCCTGTGTCCTCTTTCCCAGGTCGTCCCATTCCACCTACATCCTCGTCTAGCCTTCTCCCATCTGCTCAGCTGCCCAGTTCTCATAATCCTCCACCAGTTAGCTGCCAGATGCCATTGCTAGACAGCAATACGTCCCATCAAATCATGGACACCAATCCTGATGAGGAGTTCTCTCCTAATTCATATCTGCTAAGAGCGTGTTCAGGGCCACAGCAGGCCTCCAGCAGTGGTAAGAAAATTGCAAACATATGGAGTTTGTCTGTGACATGTTTGTGCCAGTTTTATGCCTTATTGCAAATGTGTTCTTGCATCAGCACAAAATTGAGAACATCTATGGAAAAGGGCAAACAAAAACTTACAGTTTTATTGCAGTGAACATTTTTTGGAAACACCATACATCATTTATGTTTTTCCTTCATTTTACTGAAGAGAGCTTCTTAGTTTTCGGAGTGTTACAAGCAGCATAAAAAATATTACTGTATTCTTGTCTCATCAGAGGGATTTATTTTTCAAAGTAAGTTTCCAGCTCCTTGATGCGTCTTCTAAAAGTGAGGTTTACACAGAATGGTTCTTTGTTCTGCATAGGCTCTTGTAGGTGATGAGGTTCTATATCTAAAAATGTGTGCTGCTTCTGCCATTCTGTGTCTGTTCTTGTTTGAGAATCTGTCTGATTTTGTACTCCCAATGTCACATTTAACTAAAATACTGCTATTTTTCTGCAAATTACTTCTTGTCTTTCAGGCCACTATTTTAAAACATTTGCAGCTCTGCTTTCAGTCATCTGCAGTTTTCAGGGTTTTCTTTATTCCTTTTTTTTTTTGTTAGTATTAACAGATGCTGACTTTTCTTTTTGACAGCCAAAAATCAAGGAATGAAGATGCAATCCCTTTTTAGAAATACAGGCAAAACAAAGGAAGGCCATTATAGCTCCTTCTGGTTTTGCCTTTTTTGTTGTTTGGGTTTTTTTAACATAGATGTCTGTTGTGCAGCTCCTGTCTATTTAACTAAACACTGTAAGTTTATATTTTATATGCACTTCCTGATCTGCTCAAGGTCACAGTTCTGGAGGTACTATGTGGTGTGGAACTTTTGGCCTCTGTGGGTGCATACAGTACACTCATATAGTGCCCTTTAAATGCGCTCGTGGTGGGAGGGTGAGACAATGAGCAGAAGTTGAAACATAAGATTCAGAGTGGATATAAGGTAAAACCTTTTCCCTAAGGATTGGGTTGGAACGGGTTGCTCAGAGAGCCTCTGCAGGCTCTGTCCTCAGAGGCTTTCATGAGCAGATTGGTTAAAATCCTGAGCTAGTTGATCTGACCTCAGAGCTGCCCTTGGCTTGGCAGGTGGCTGGAGTAGGGACCTCCTGGGGTTCCTTCCATCCTGAATTAGCCTTTAACCTGATCAGCCATTCAGGTGTGTTAAAATATAATTACACAAAGAAATAATAATTCAGGGATTGAGCATGCTTCTTTGCTACTACAGCGTAGAAGGTGGAAAATACGATTCCAGTTTTGAGGGTTTTTTTTTTAAGAGGTTCAGGGGGATCTTGGGAGTAGCAGACCTCAAAATCTGTAATAAGCAACTCAGTAGAAACCATTGCGTGGGGGGAGGGAAGTGAATGTGATCTCTCTTTGATGAGACAGTATAGCTTCTGTAAAGCTTAGCCATTTAAGAGTTCTTTGAAGGAGTCAGCCATTCCTGAATGGGGGTGATCTAGTTAATAAAGGGTCTGTATTTTCAAATGGGTCTCAACAAAATCTGCTGCTCAACACCTTTAAGGGAAAAAAGGGAAAGAGGAAAGACCCCTTCACAATAAGCAGTTTGAAAGACAGTGAGTAGAAGCTGGAGCTCCCCAATGACTTTTCATGGGACATGAAGATACTTGGAGAAGATGGTGGGGTAAGAAAAGTACCTGATGGCAGTATGGTAAGGATGAGATCAGACTATAAAGAATTACAAGAGGACCTTTTGAGACCAAGTAACAGGGCAATAAAGTGGCAGAGGAAATTCAGGGCAGAGAAATGTAAAGTGATATTCACAGAAAAAGCAACTCTGGTTCACTACTGGTAATGGTGATGGGCTACTGCTAATCAGGAGTGAGTTTCTGGGGATGTGCATGCTTCATCTCAGAGCTCAGAACAGGTGAATGCTGACAAGAAAGGAATAAAGAACAAAAGAAATAACATTGCATAGAAGATGTGGTGGATCAAACAGTGTATAAGGGTTTAAAGGGGAAAGCGAAAAGTGAATGGGGGAGAGATGCAATAAGGGTTATGAAGTAGAAAAAAATCAAGGTCAAGGAATATGGACTAAAAAGGAGACTTGGAGGATACTTGAATACTTGGTACTTGGTGTTAATAGCTGCCATTGGAGGCTGGGTGAACCAGCATTGCTTTTCTCATGAAGCCAAATAAAGCAAGTCACAGTAAAACAATACTGCAAATCTGATGGAAGAGCTCTTTAGGTTTCATTTTAAAAATAGTCATTGTTTCTTTATAGCCTCAAAAGCTTTCTGTTTTGGACCTGTTGCAGTGGACTTGATCCAATGAATCTTTTCGATAGGCTCAGATATGCTTTGATTTGTATATGAATGGCTGATTTGTTCATTCTATGTTTTAGCATTTTTCTCCCCCAAATGTCTCATTTTCTTCATTAATGAACAGTCATAATAAGTGACTTTTCAGGCTGTAAGAAACAGCCGTGGGGTGTCAGGGGATTTTTGTTGTTGTTTTTGGTTTGGGTTCTTATTTTTTGACCGTAGGCACATGCTTAATTGCTTGCTCACCACTGAGAGTGTTCTATAGCACAGGTTCTTCTAGACTTAATATATCCTGTGGAAAGTAATAAGTGGTTTCTAATGATGTCATTCTTTTCTGTAGTTCTCACGTGTTCTCATGTAGTTCTCTAATGTTTCCTTTCGAGAGCTTATAAGAAAACACCACAGATAGTGCCATATACCTTGACTTGGAAAAACTAACCTTTTTATGTGGTTCATTCATGTGGAAACTTAGCACCGTAGATCCAGGCATCTGGGAGACAGTAAATACATTTAAATATTTTGCGCTTGGTCTTGGGTTGAAAAGGAAGATTTGAAGATACTTAGATTTAAGATTCTAGATTCTCTAAACGAATCTATCACAGTCTCCAAAGTAGATGCTGAGGGTTAAATATTTGCAGAAGTCTCATACTGATTACATTATATAAGTGTCCTCTTATTTGTCTGATTGTACACTTAAGCTTGCTTCAACCTCAACAATTATAGGATAGCTCCACAACAGCTTGAAGATGAGTCTTCTTGGATATGAGGTGATAGTCATCCATCCACATGTACTGCCCTGTGCCCTTCACAAGAGCCATTCTTGGTATATCTGGAAAACTCATTTGCCTAAAAAAATTACCTAATCAAATCTTCCATCAAATGAGCAATCTATTGTTGATATTATGAAGGCCTTTAATCTACAATAAATCTTTGTTAGAACTCATCAGAGCTTCCACTTTGAGAGAAATGTGATTATAGCACTCTTAAAATGACATTACATCATTGGGGTGATTGGTTTATCATTTGGAGAAGCGACATCAATCATAACTAGCATAACCACACAGTAAATGAATTCAACCTTTCTACTGCAGAACAATGACACAATAATTGCTCAAAATCAGACTTAAAATGAAATCAGAAAATGCACTTTCTTTAAATATGATGTTAACCTAATGGAATATATTATCAAAAATCATGTTTGAGGAAAGTCTGTGTAATTAAAAATACGTGAAAATGTATTCCTTTTTTTCTCTCATTAGAACCTGATTTCAGTTGCAGAATCATTTTCTATGCAACAGATATTATGCTGGTTTTAATTGAACTCACATCACTTACATTCCTCTGCTTGTATTTCTTAATATAATATGCAGCACAATTATATGTGATGAAGGACAAGAGGTTTTTGAAATCTGGTGCACCTGCTGATAGTGTTTTGAAAAACACAAATATTATAGAAGGAAATGAGACTTTCATCCATGAGAAGCTAGTGGATTATATTTTTCCCTTCTAAAAGGTCAGTTCCTGTCACACCATTTTCTAGGATGGTTTCTTACAGCTAGAAGGAGGAATAGGTTTGTTTCTTCTTCCTGTGTTTTCTTCCTGGCAATATAAGGTGACTCATCTTGTTGGAATGCCATTTTAATGGTTTCGGTCATAATACAATGGGCTGTTTTTCAGTCTTACATAGGGGAAAAAAAGATAAGGAGTGTCGTTGCCAGCACCTTTGCCTTTACTTTTTTATATAAGATTTATTCCTATTAAACCAGATTTTGGAATCTTAACAGAAAAACTGTTTTCCAACCTGAGTAGAACACCTAGGATAAATCTACTTGCACAATAGTTTGCGATATAATAGAACCGTAACTGGATGCATTCCTCACCTTCAACCATTCTAAAAACTTAAAAAGTAGATGCAGAATGATCTTTGGAGTATTTATATTTTGGGAAAATTCTAAACTGCAGGTTAGATATTGTCATGATGCCCAAGAAGTTACTGGAGTTTAACTGGAAGGGGGATCATGCCTAGTTTTTCAGTGTTAACATGTCTTTTTGGCTCAGAGACAATAATCCAAAGCTCTGCTTCAGTGTAACAGTATTTGCCCACAGGGTAGTTTGGACACTGCTTAGAAGACAGGGCTTGCTTTGATTTTTTTCCCGAGCACTTACTGGCAGTGAAGGGAACGCTTTCCCATGGTGATTCCAAGTCCATGGGCATTCGTTCTCAATCCAGTCAGTATGGTGCCATCAAACTTGTCTTGCTCATATGCTTCATTGCAGGTAGTAGAAGTCTTGCCCCCCCACTCGCACAGAAAATTAGCATAGGATGGTTGATCAATATGTATTTTGAATTTTGCAGAAATTTGGGGTTTGGGTTTGTTGTTTCTTTGATTTTGATTTTTTTTTTTTCTCTTGGAAGTCCTGGTTCTAAACTGTTTAATTGGAATTGAAATCTTCCTCTCCTTGTCCGCATTACATTTCCGGTGGGAGAAGGGCTGTTGTTTTACTTTGGTGTTTGTTTATTGTGGTCCCTGTCCATGACTTCTGAGGTCATGTAGGGAGGAACAGTAACAGAAGGAAAAGTTTTGGTGTTCTCCGCCTTCGCTTTTGGTCCTGACTGCTGTATGCATTTGTTAGGATTTCAGCAGCCTCTCTTTCTGAAACCTCTTTCAGAATATTTCATTTCAGAC